AGTTCGAAACAATCACTCACTCAATTATTAAAGACTAAGGGCTATCTTACATCGAGTTTGAGAAAACCACTCACTCGACCATAAAAGGCCTACGGGCTACGAATACTTTGAGTTCGAAGCAATCACTCACTCAATTATTAAAGCCTAAAGGGCTATCTTACATCGAGTTCGAGCAAACCACTCACTCGATCATAAAAAGCCTACGAGCTACAATACTTCGAGTTTGAGTTCGAAGCAATCACTCACTCAATTATTAAAGCCTAAGGGCTATCTTACATCGAGTTCGAGCAAACCACTCACTACAATACTTCGAGTTCGAGTTCAAATAATCACTCACTCGACTGTCAAGCCTAAGTGCTATCTTACATCGAGTTCGAGCAAACCACTCACTCGATCATAAAAAGCCTACGGGCTACAATACTTCGAGTTCGAATAATCATTCACTCGACTATCAAGCCTAAGGGCTATCTTACATCGAGTTCGAGCAAACCACTCACTCGATCATTAAAAGCCTACGGGTTGTAACACTCCGAGTTCGAGTTCGAGCGATCACTCACTCAACTATTAAGCCTAAGGGCTATCTTACTTCAAGCTCAAAATAATCACTCACTCAATTATTAAACTTAGGGACCAACACAGCAAGAGTTTGAGGCTTTGTTCTCACTTAAATCGGACCGAAAGGGTTCCATCACTCCAAAGTTCAAGATAACTCAGCTCAAAGAACCGCCAAAAAAACTAGGTTGCAATAACAAAATCTTCACAAAGGCAAAAGCACGTTTAAACATAAAACTGAGAAGGCATCCAAAAGAAGCTCTATTATTAACAAAAGGGGGTATGTACAAAGAGACCGGTCAAAAGTTCGCAAAAGGGAAACTAAGTCCTAACTGCGGCCGGTGTCAATATCTCCTTCGGGAGCTGCTTCTCTTTCGGACTCCTCATCGGACCCTCCTCGACTGCCTTTCTTATCATCGTCTTCGTCGTCGAAGGAAACAAGCTGCCTGGCTTCAACTTTGAGCGCCTTAGCTCGGGCAATCTCCTCGGAAAGTTCAAAACCTCGAGTGTGGATTTCCTCGGGGGTTTCCCTCCGGGATTGGCACTTTGCCAAGTCGGTAACCCGTTTCTCTCGGTCAGAAGCCTCCCTTAGCTACATTTGAGCAGCCTCGGCATCGGCCCGATACACAGCAATAGACTTGTCTGCCATGACTTTCGATGACTCAACCTCCGCCCTGGCCTCAGCAAGCCCTGTTTCAAGCTCCTCGATCCTCCTGGCCTGAGCCGAACTTTTTTGCTTGACACCTTGAAGCTGAACATCGGCCGATAATAGTTTGGCCAAGATAGTTTTTTTTTTGCGGCCAGGCGGTCGATAGCCTCCTTCCACCGATCACATTCGGCCTTGATTTGATCGACTTCTCCCCGAAGCAACCCGATCTTTTCAACTTTTTGTTGCAGCTGAGATAACGAAGGGTTAGCTTTCACAGTTGGGTCGAAACCATACTCTAACAGAACGATGCTCACCTGTTTATCTAGTTCGGACTCTTCTTCACGAGCCTTGGAAAAATCTGGTTGGAGGTCCTTTATAACCTCGTCCTTTTGGCCACAAAGAAGCTTCAGAGCATCTCTCTCCCCCGAGACCTTTTGAAGCTCGACCTCACACTGGCTGAGATCGGCTCGAAACTTGCTAAGGGCCTACACAAAAGGGAAAAAACGCAAGTCAAGTTTAGAAAAAAAATAAAGAAACCAAGCGCGGTAAAATCATTACTCGAGAAATGAAACGTTTGGCCTCTTCTAGAAGAATAGAAGTGTCACTAATATCGGAGGCATCATCGACTCCAGTAAAGCAATCCCGAAAAGGATCCCCTACACTAGAGCCTCCACCCATATCGAGGGTCTTCAATTCTCGAGCTTCTCTTAATGCCTCCTCGGAAAAGGTCGGAAGAGAAGGCAAATGACCCACTATCATGGTCCCAAGCAAATCGCTCGGGACGCTCTGATCGAGCCTCAGTGTATCAGAACCAGCCCCGACCGGTATAGCCGCCATCGGCTCAGAAGGTCTGGCAACCTCGATGGCTTTCGCAGATCAGACCACCAGTGCCAGAGCATCCTCCTCTTCTTCTTCTTCTTCTTCTTCTTCTTCTTCTTCTTCTTCTTCTTCTTCTTCTTCTTCTTCTTCATCTCTTAGTCGTTGCCGAGTCCGTCGCAAGAGCGATTACCTTTTTCCTCACCCTTCGAGTTTTGGGCTTGGGGTCCTCTGACTGAGAGACAGTTTTTCGCTTTTTATCTTTCCCCCGTTTCGGAACCGGGGACTTGGTTCCTTCCTCACCACTCGAAGGCCTCAAAACGGCATCCTTGGTCACGCCTGCATGAAAGGAAGTCAGTAACGAATGGAGCATAAAAAATATTTCAAAAAACATGAAAAGGGACCCTTACCGTGATTCTTGGCCTCCCATCTACCTTTTGCCAATTCACGCCAAGCGCGTTTGGCATAAGAGGAAGTCGAGGCTAACTTCCGAACCCAATCCTCGATGTCAGGTACCGCTTGTGGCATCCAAGGGACAACTGTATATCGGAGGGAGATATCAGAGAGAATCGGAGAAAGATACAAGAAACAAAGTTTTATAAAAATCACTTACGGTTGAAATTCCATTCCTCGGGGAACGACATCTTCTCTTCTGGGATAAGGTCACGGGTCCTCACCCGAATAAAGCGGCCCATCCAACCCCGATCCTTGTCTTTATCGATGCTCGACATTAAAGCTTTCGTTGCCCGACAGTGGAGCCTGATTAGTCCTCGAAAGATTTGAGGTCGATACAATCATATGAGGTGATTTAGAGTAGAATCCAACCCCCCGGCCTTGCTCGAGAAGAAGCGAAGTATGATCACTATGCGCCATAGAGAAGGATGAATTTGGCCGAGAGTGACCTGATATCTGTTGCAAAAATAAATGATCACTGGGTCGACGGGACCCAACGTGAAGGGGTAAGTATAAACACTTAAAAACCCCTCCACGTGAGTGATGGTGCTCTCTTCGGGAGAGGAAATTTGCAACACAACCTCGGGACCCCAGTTGCAGTCTTTCCTCACGGCCTCGAGATGGCCCTTTGTTATTGAGCACATGTACATCGACACATGCTCACATCGGCCCGGAACCGACGAAGGATTTTCAACCTTAAAATTGGTCTTTAGAATACACGGGCCAGGAACATACTCGTGGGGAGGCGGCTCCGCCGGTGCCTTGTCGCCGGACGGCCGGGAAGAGGAAGCTTTCTCCTTCTGCGGTACGGCTTTTGAGGTTTTTGCCATTGGTATAAGTAAAAGAAAAGTAAAGGAAGATAAAAGGATGATGGTGTCAAACGCTGATGAAGGTGGCTCTACAAGCGGCGAAATAGAGGCGGAAAGAGTAAGAAAATTTGGGGTTTTGATTAGAGTAACATATTAACTTTGATTTGGGAACGGGCTATTTATTGGATAAACAGAGGCGGTTCAATCTCATATAATGGCCGACATCGACTGACGCGCACTAAATGCCTCGGTAAGCTGAACCGACGGGACAGCTACCACGTGCGTCATGGTCGGACTCGGTGCTGACGTCAATATATATCTAATCACACCGTTGGAAATCATGTCGTTTCTCGTTACATCCTTCTCGAGAAACGAGGGGACTATCTGTATACGGTCGGAATCTATTATTCAGTCGTACAGACTGGTCGAGATAATAATACTTCGATCAAAAGATATCTGCGTAAGGTCAGGTCGAGGTCCGAAGTAAGGGTGCCATGATTCGAGCTCCAAGACCGATCAAGGATCAGCTCGGTATCATTATCGGGCCCATAACCAAATCGAACCACGAGGCAACGCGAAGGTTGTCGGAAATGCACAGACCGACCGACACCCACCCCGAATATCAAGACTTCGAGTCAGGATCGAGCTCGAGTCAAGGCCGATGGCTCGATCCAATATCGAGTTCGAGTCAGTATCGAGCTCGCAGACAAGGGCCGTTTCAACCGCACTAAGGGAGAAAATCCTGTCAGAAATCAGGAAAAAGACAATTCATCATGGGCTCTCCACTATATATTTTATTGTATATAAAGTAGGATCCCTCTACTATAAAGGGGAGATTATTGTAAGCATAAGAGACATTCACACATTGTAATAAAAGACTACTTCTCCTATTGAAAGAGAAACCCCTTGAGTTTGTTTTACTTTGTCATACTCATTCTTCTTGCTCACTAATTATTATCCCGTTTCTATAGTCAAGAATCTACACATTTCCATTTTTCTGTACGATTTATGTCAAGCTATATCACATATCCTTAGAACTACTTATAAATTTAACTCTACCCGATTTTCTGGGTAAACATTTTCCGTTAAGATAAAGTTCATATACTAATGTTTATTTTTCTACTCCTCGTTTTTAGCTTGAGTGTGGTGGATTTTGAATTTAGCCCTCTACGTTAGTCAAAGCTTTAAAAATGTCTGCATCAGTATTTTGCTTAAACGCTTTGCAGTACAGCTAGCCCATTGAAATCCTTTTCTACCTAATCTCTGTTACAACCTCCTCTCCCTCTTAACAAACTAAAACACTCACAAAATTGTCTCTACCATTTCACTTATATAAATATGCCTCTTAATTCCTTTTCTCATCATCCATTCGAACAACTGTTTGATAGCTTCTACGCTCTAGCCAAGAAAAATGGCAAAGCAGACAAATTTTTTCCCGCTCCTAGGCTTCCTTGTCATTGGATTTCTTTGTTTCATTTGTCTGCCTGCTGAGGCTGCCCTTAAGAAATATCAGTTTGATGTTAGTGTCTTCAATTTCAAAATGTGCTTTTGTTTACTTTGGTTTCTAGCTATTTTTGTTTCTTTGTCCACTCATTTACCAACTTTCTGTGTTTTACAGGTTCAAGTGGCAAATGTGAGCAGATTGTGCCATGCAAAACCAATTGTTACAGTTAATGGGAGATTTCCCGGGCCAACTATATATGCTAAAGAAGGAGATAGAGTTCAAATCAACGTTACTAACTATGCACAATATAACTTGTCCATTCACTGGTAACAACAGTGAATTCTGATAAAAATTGCAAAACATTTTGAAGTCTGTCAAATGTTAGAGGCTCAAACAGGATGTTTTTATTCTGATTCTTGCAGGCATGGATTGAAACAATATCGCAATGGTTGGGCAGACGGGCCAGCTTACATAACTCAGTGCCCTATTCAGACAGGAAATAGCTATGTTTATGACTTCAATATAACATGACAAAGAGGAACCTTATGGTGGCATGCACACATTCTTTGGCTAAGAGCAACAGTCTATGGTGCTATAGTGATCATGCCACAGCAAGGAACTCCCTTCCCTTTCCCTCAACCAGATAGGGAAGAAGTACTTGTACTAGGTGAGTGTGGCGTTCATTAGTATATATAGAATTCGACCCAGAAATTTGTTGACCTTCTTTTATGGAAAAGCATGAATAAAACATGCGGTTGCTTCATTTGATCATGCTGCAGGAGAATGGTGGAATGCTGATGTTGAAGAAGTCGAGAAACAAGGAAACGCCTTGGGCATACCTCCTAATATGTCTGATGCCCATACAATCAACGGAAAGCCAGGGCCTCTTTTTCCATGTTCTGAGAAACGTAAGAATTAAGAAATTGACATTGACTGGAGTATTTCAACCTTGTATATGAGAAAAATATGGCTGTTAGAGTGTTTGGCTCCAACATCATTTAATATTTGCATTTCTTTTTCAGATACTTTTGCCATGGAAGTTGAAAAAGGGAAGACATACCTGTTAAGAATCATCAACGCTGCTCTCAATGATGAGCTGTTTTTTTCCCTGGCTAATCATACCTTCACAGTGGTGGAAATTGATGCAGTCTACACGAAACCATTCACTACGGAGGCCATTCTGATTGCGCCAGGGCAGACTACAAACGTTCTGGTTCGTGCCAACCAAATTCCAGGAAGATACTTCATGGCTGCAAGGGCATTCATGGATGCTCCAATCTCTGTGGATAACAAGACTGCTACTGCTATATTCCAGTACAAGGGAATCCCACAAACTCTACTGCCAAAACTTCCAACCTTGCCTGAACAAAATGACACAGACTTTGCTTTGACCTATAACTCTAAACTCAAAAGCCTAAATACCCCTAAATATCCAGCAAACGTTCCCCTAAATGTTGATCGACACCTCTTGTTTACAGTAGGCCTAGGAATAAATCCTTGTCCCACCTGTCTAAATGGAACTCGGCTAACGGCTTCTCTCAACAACATTACCTTTAGCATGCCACAAACTGCACTTCTTCAAGCTCATTACTTCAACATTAAGGGTGTATACACTCCAGATTTCCCAGACAAACCACCTACTCAATTCAATTTTACAGGGGCACCTCTTACAGCCAACCTAAGGACAAATCTAGGCACAAGGCTTAATAAGATTGCTTTCAATTCCACTATCGAACTAGTTATCCAAGACACCAACTTGTTATCGGTGGAATCACATCCTTTCCATCTCCATGGCTACAATTTCTTTGTGGTTGGAACTGGTGTCGGAAACTTTGATCCCAAAAAGGATCCAGCAAAATATAACCTGGTTGATCCTGTAGAAAGAAATACTGTAGGTGTTCCAACGGGTGGTTGGACTGCTATTCGGTTCAGAGCTGATAACCCAGGTACCTAGTTTACAACCAACTTTAGTTAATGAACTTTTTCTATATATTGTTTCTCATTTATTCTTAACATATCCAATTTTTTGTGAAGGGGTCTGGTTTTTCCACTGTCATCTGGAGTTGCACACAGGATGGGGACTAAAAACAGCATTTTTAGTGGAAAATGGACCAGGATCAGATCATAATATTCTGCCTCCACCCAAGGATCTTCCACGCTGCTAATTCACCAGGCTTTCGTTCTTATCTGTACAGATGGATATCTTGTGCATCTTTACAAAATTTGCTTCATGTTCCATATGGAGGCAAAAGGCTTCGAGGATCATACACATCTAAGAAAGGAGTTTCTATCGAGAAAATCAAAGAGATTCGTTGTAGTTTGAGTTGTAATAAAGGTCCACAAGATTTTGGACTGTTGTTTTTATGAACTTCCCTGATTCATTTAATATCTACTAGTTGCATTGAAATACGTATGTCGATACTTGCTTTTGACTTGATAAGTTTATCAACTACAGCAAACATGAATCAATCTAATTAAGCACCCGGATCATCTCCTAAAATATTTCAATCATCCATATAAGATAATGCCAAGATGCCCACACAAAACCAAGAAAACACTTTGAAGTAACAGTCTATACTTCAGGAAAACCAACATCCTAGCTATTTTGTTAAAAAACATCAGAAGAAAAAGACATTTTAATTTCCTAAGGTGGCATTTGATGGGTTTGGGGTTTGATTTATGTTTGGTTTTGGGAGAATTAGTTTTGACTTTGGATTTTGAGATAATTTGCATATTTTGGATTTGTTTTTATAAAATTGGTTTGTACACCTATTGTGTCTGAAAATATCACTAAACGGATTAATATTGGTGAATAAGGTAATTTAAAGCCAAGTAGACTGAACTATTTACAACAATAGTTTAAGAAATGGTCAAAATGCAATTGGCAAAAAGTTGCAACAGTTCACATGCATGCTATGATGAAGAAAAAATCCATTAAGTTTGTAAACAATGAACTAGGAGGCCAAATCAAAAGCAGATCAAGATGAACCTTTCAAGATCAAGACAAGGCCCTAATCATTCATGTGGCGACCAAAGAGAAACCGGACTATTGATTATGGATTTTTGGTTACGAAGTATATAGAAGAGCTCAGAATTAATCCTAGCTGGGCAATAAAGAATTTCAAGCTCATGTGAAAAGAACTCACAAGTGTACACTTGGTATATATCAATCTTACAGGGCAAAGAGGATGGCACTACACGTGATTAAAGGAACCAAAGAAGAACAATTTAATATGTTGTGGGACCATTGTGCGGAACTATGAAGGAGTAATCCAAGGACTACATGTATTTTGAAGCTGGATGATGGATGATTATCCAAAAATAATTGTCAGAGGCAAGAAAAGATTGTTTAGGCTCTATTTTTGCTATGCAGCATGTAAACAAGGGTTCTTAGCTGGATATAGACCAATTATAGGGCTGATGGTTGCCATTTGAAAGGACATCAAATGCTTTTAGATCTATTTTTGATGAGGACTTTGAAGTCAATAATTCTAGTGATGTTTAAATGCTTTAAATGTTTCCATTTTAGAGTTACATACAGCTTAATGCTTTTAGATTCTTATTGTATCATAGTTTATAGGTAAGCAGAAAGCACTTTTGCAGTAAGAGAAATATGAATATAAATGCATGATCAGCAGATGTTAGTAGAGAATGCAAACCTTAGTCCTGAGCTTTCACGCTAGACATTTTCAATATCATTAAGTTGAAGCAAACAATTTGACAACTGCCTCCTCTCTCAGCAGTGTTAAGAATTAATCTTGCTCGCGTGTTAGTATCATAGGAAAAGTTTTTCTATCAGCGGAGAGGCTCCATTGATGTTGAGTATTTATTACCTATAGATAGAAATCATTTCTTTATCAACATACAATAACATGTTCTTGTCGAAAGTACTCATAGAATTCAATCAAAGTTCTTTTCTTTCTTTCTTGCAACAATGATATTTAGATATATTTTCAATACACCACACAAAAGTTCAATATTACGAGATTATAAGAATTAGCAGAAGCATTCTAAGCAATCAACAAATCAAATAAGACGTGAATTCAAAATAGAGCATTTGATCACTTTCTTGGTGATATCTATGCTTGCTAAACTTCAACTACTAGTGTAGGTATTCATATCTTTTCTATACTTAACCAATTCATCAGAAAATATGTACATATATACTGCAATTGCAGATACGTACATAATCATATAAGCGAGTATAAGCACTTGCACAGTTGCAAAGGCTTCTCTGTCTCACTTCCCCATTATTGTGTATTGGGCATGATATCAAACACTGCATGCCATTTGGACGGAGAATAGTTTAGCTGTAAGGAACAAGATGAAATTCTACATCTGATGTCCTCTCCTACAGTTTGCAAATTATATGAATTTGCTACTGAGATTAGTAATGTGGAAGTGGCCAAAAGGTGCAGCAGAAAAAGAGAGAGAATGGCTTGCTACATACATCATTCCCATTTATAACATAGCTTGTAATTGCGAAAAATCGAAAGAGACATCGACAAGTATCCAAAAAATCGGAGCAAAATACCTAGAATCGTCAGTAACCTCCATGAAATATGCTAAAAAAAATCTTGTAGGTTTGGTCAAATTTAGGTCAGATAAGCTTGCACGGAAATTGGGGAAGTAGTGCATTCTCGTATGTTTTCATCAAATGTAGCTCACATGAGCTTGTGTTCTGAGAGAAAGGGAAAGTATACTTCATTCTAGAAGAGAATTTACAATTAGCAGAAAAGGACATATGTTAATTTCCTAGGTGGCATTTGATCGTGATTTATGTTTGGTTTTCGGAGAATTTTGGCTATGGCTGAGAAAACTTTGCAATATTTTGGATTTGGTTTCGCAAATAATATTTTGTGAAACTTTTATGTTTGAAAATATCACTAAACCCTAAACGCAATTAATATGGGTGAAAAAGGTACTACAATCACAACTATCTATAACACTATTCTCGTATAACATTCATTCACTATAAAAGTCAAGTTTGATTGTTCCTGTAACAACACTTTCCTGTAACTTAAAAAAAATCTAAAAACAAACAAAATCGTTATAAAGAAACTTGACTGTAATACTTTAAAGCCAAGTAATTTGAATAATTAAGAAATTAGTTTAAGAAAGAAATGGTCAAAATGCAAATGGCAAAAAGTTGCAACTGTAAATGCCATAATAACAATAAATACTTTCTCCGTTTACTTTTATTTGTTCATTATACAAAAAATATATTTTCACTTTTACTTGTCCACTATGCTAAATCAAGAGAAAGACAATTTTTTTTTTATACTTATTTTACCTTTAATATCAACTACTAATTTTCCAAGACTTTTATGATAAAATTATAAAATACATATTCCATTTATTATTTCTTAAGGGATGTGAAAAGTTCAAAGTGGACAATTAAAGGTGAACGGAGAGAGTAATAATAATGATTTATAAAAATAGCCCCTTTTGAAAATGGTAGAAACTTTGTTGCTACTTATAAGTGCCCATTTGGACATAAAATTTGATGGAAGATTTTTGCAAAAAAAAATTTACTTTTTTTCGAAATCAGCGTTTGTTAATAAAATTTTCAATTTTCACTTGAAGATGCATTTTGAAAATTTGTAAAACTGTAAAAAGTTATTTTTCAAAATTATCACTCACAAAACTTCAAAAACAACCCAAACTGAAATTTATGTCCAAACACAACTCTAAATTTCAAATACCATTTTCACTTGAAAAAATTTTTCACCATTTTTTCGAATTTTACAATTCTTATGTCCAAACGACTACTTAATATTAGTGCAATTTCAAGAATTATCTTCAATAAACATAGCAAACTATAAAATTAAAGGGTTAAAAAAAAAGAAGGAATATTCGACTTGTTGGAAAGCACAATATCCAGTTAAGTAGTTTCAGTGGACAACATGGAACTGCACATAGAAATAAAAAAAGAGAGCAATTTCCAGTTGAATATAAAAAAGGACGTACTTTCTGCAAATCTCTTCAAATCTCGCCATCAAATAGAAGATGGCAGCATTGTCTATGACTTGGTCTTGCTCTCCCTTAACCTCCTCCAAATTTAGGCGAGTCAACCGGTGAGTTTTACCTTCATTTCTCTATATCAAATTCCATCCCGTCTTTTAATTATAGTTTTTGGGTATTATTTTCTTCTTTCATTTCACCCATTTTATCGATCGATTTTCTGCCCCAGCTACTGATTGATTCTTCAAAAAGATAATCTTTTTTTTTTGCTTTGTAAGTCTTAAAAATGCAATCTTTTTAAGTGGGTGTTTATGTGTTTGTTGAGAAATTGGTTGAATTAACGGGTTGCGATTGGTTGCAGATATCCAGGGATGGCATTTGCAAGTGTGAAATCTACTGAAGGATTGGGGAATTTACCCAAGGTCGTTTTGACTTCTCCTCATGGAAGGTACATTCTTAGTTTTTAGCTTAATGGTTCAGATTAGATGTTAATTTATTAATTGCTGATTGCGGAGGGGAGCTAAGACTGTATATTTTCTGTCCAAGTAGGACTAAGATATAGTAGTGGCAAAAGAAGTCAGCCATTTGATGTAGAACCTTAATCCTAAACCATAATTGTAATATATTACTTAGAAAAGGTCTAATCTTGAAGGATTAAATATATCGGGCTATGTTCTCAAAGATAGATAAGGAAAAAGAAATGTAATGACAAGGTTGGTGAAGATCTTCCAAGTTCTTCATGTCGAACTGATCACAATCTGGACAAAAAACTAGTTGTTCTGAAAAATGTCAGATGTCAAAATTTTCTTTCCCTTATTTTGCAGTGAGGCAGAGCTATATCTATTTGGAGCTTGTCTCACATCTTGGAAAGTAGACAGTAAAGATCTTCTTTTTGTTAGACCAGATGCTGTATTCAATGGTCAGAAACCAATCAGGTTTTGTACATGTTCCCATTTTCCTTTAATTTAGCTGCAGTATCTTCAATGTCTTATTTGAAACGGAAAGAGCTAAAGAAGTTATATCACCTTTCTTATTGACTATTCTACATTGTATAGTGGAGGAATACCGCATTGTTTCCCCCAATTTGGACCTGGCCCAATCCAGCAGGTAAATTGCTTTACGTGTTTCTATGTATATAGTTTAGACTACTTATAGTTAGAGAGCTCAGCATTTCTTACTGGAGAAGCAACTGTTTTACAAGACCTTCAACTGACATTATCTGCTGCCAACACACTCTAGCACTTAGTTTGATGCTAGAAATATATTTTAAAGCTCCACTTAGAGTTATATTGGTAATCTAAGTTGCTCGGACACGAGTGCGTTCTAGAGGTCGGATCCTTCGAGATGTAAATTCTAAGATTCGGGGATACGGATCCTAGTACAGATACGGGTGCGGGGATCCAGCTAAAAATAATTCAAAAAAATTAAAAATATAAAAATATCTCTAGATTATGAGAAATTTTGTGAAATACTTATGTATAGTTTTAAAGTGTGGATTATTTTTTTATTCTCAAGTTGTCGATAAATAAATGATTGATTTCCTAGGTAAGGTATACTATTTTCTTCAAATTTACCCTAGTTTTGGTTATGATTTCGAGAATCAAATTGTATCTCGTCTCGAATTTTTCCGGCGGTTGTGGCCAAAGTACCCAAAATCCTTTGACCAGATCCGGCACAGACCCGATACCCACACCCATACTAGTGTCGTGTCGACACGGGTGCGGCACCTAAACTGCCATGTCGGAGTAACTTAGTTGGTAATTATGGCACGCAATATGTCAACTTATTCTTGGACAAGTTATCTGATCAGTTTCTGGATGCTGGTTTTGAGTCTTATATCTGATCAGTTTCTGGATGCTGGTTTTGAGTCTTACATGTGCTCATCTGATTGACAGCACGGATTTGGAAGGAACATGAATTGGTCTCTGGTTAGCTCTGAAAATGTGGAAGGGAATCCTATTGTTACTTTGGAGCTAAAGGATGGCCCTTACAGCCGTGCGATGTGGGACTATAGTTTCCACGCTCTTTACAAGGTTCGAATAGTAGTTATTTAGCATCTTGCATTTACCAAAATTGTCGTCTTGTTCATCCTCATATTCCTAGATTGCTTCTGTAGCTAATTAACCGTTCAGAGACAGCTAAACTGGATAAATACCTGTTTGAGTAGACAGAAGGTTGAAAGCTATTGGCAGAGCTATGGGGAAAATGCAGAGCTACCTTTGCATCTCAAAATGATGTTTGTCCATATTAATTTGTAAATTTTCAAAAGTAACTAATACATTTTTTTTGAAAAGGTAAGTAAATTTTATTAATGCAAGCACCAAGGAGGTACTGCAAAACAGAAGTAAACAACTTTCAAAAGTAACCCCCCCACCTCCCTCCAATTTTTCTGAGAAAGTTATATTACCCTCTTCCCTATATCTATCGGCCCACAACTCTCAAATCCAAACTCTATCACTGGTATGTGACTTTTATGTAAAGGAATCTGATAAGGGACTCTCATTTACGTACTTTGGTGAAACACCTATTTGATGTGATAGATGGCTATGGTATACTGTATACATATCCAGTAACGCGTAGTTACAATCCACATTCTTTTGATCAAGCATGATACATGATAAAACTTTTAACTTTGCNTCAAATACAAACTCTATCACTGGTATGTGACTTTTATGTAAAGGAATCTGATAAAGGACTCTCATTTACGTACTTTGGTGAAACACCTATTTGATGTGATAGATGGCTATACATTTCCTGTAACGCATAGTTACAACCCAGATTCTTTTCATCAAGCATGATACATGATAAAACTTTTAACTTTGCATTTTGCAATTTCTTGCAGATCACTCTTGATAAGAAGACCCTTTCCACGGAATTCACAATTACAAATACTGACAACAAATCATTTTCGTTTACTACTGCTCTTCATACTTACTTCCGCGTAAGTATTTCTCTGGCAACTTATGAGTAGAAATTCCCATAGTTGGGGCGCATCTCCTGAAACTTTTGAACTTTATCAGGAATTCAAGGCCTGTCAAATTATAGCGTTGGGAAATGGAATAATAAGATATTGTTTTTTCCCAAAAGAATAAATAAGATGTCAATACTGAATAATCGTGTTCTGCTCTCTTCCTCTTCTAAACAAATAAACCTCTCGTTTTTCCTTTTTTCTTTCTTTTCCCTCAATCATTGGCTCTGGGGGTGATGAATGTTAACTCATTTCCTTAATAACTTCATTTTCTTTCTCGTTCAATTGATTCATGATCATTGGTAAGCTTGTTATCTACCCAAGAAAAAAAAACCTTTTTCATCCAGTGTTCTATTCTCCAGGCGTCTGTAACAGGTGCATCAGTTAGTGGCTTAAAAGGTTGCAAAACTCTAAACAAAGTTCCTGATCCGACAAATCCTGTGGAGGGTAAGGAGGAAAGGTCAGTATGAGATCTCAAATAGATCAAGAAAGAGTCATTCTCTTCTACCAGGATATACTTATTATCTTAAAGAATTCATGACTGTGAATAAGAACATCCATTCTTTATGGTATGCTCTTAGATTTACAGTTTGTTCATGCATTCTGCAGAAACTAATCCACGTCCTGATAATTTTCTCTGCCACAGGGATGTGGTGACATTTCCTGGATTTGTGGACTGTGTTTATCTTGATGCACCTAATGAGTTACAGCTAGATAATGGTTTAGGTGATAAAATATCCATCAAAAACACCAAGTGAGTTACTACTTCCCACCCACCTTCATGGAGTTGGTCAAAGAACTATCTTGCCCCCTAGTTGTCTAATTTACCAAGTTGAATGTGTTTTGTACGTGCAGCTGGTCTGATGCTGTTCTATGGAACCCTCATCTGACCATGGAACAAAGCTACAAAGACTTTGTTTGCGTTGAAAATGCCAAGGTATTTATATAGGATCTCTCTGTGTTGCTAGATTGAAATGTGTTTCTAGATTTCTTCGTCCCATTTCCTTTGACATTCTGCATGTGATTTCCACATACATTTGATCTAATTGCAAATTAGTAGCCCTTTGCCTACCCAATTGCATGTTATTTCTCTTACTTATGGTTGAAAAGCTTCATATGCTTGACCTCATTTGCTATTTTTGTTGTTTTCCCTCGTTCATATCAGATTGGAAAAGTTCAGCTGGAACCGGAGCAATCTTGGACGGCTGTACAACATCTAACTGTTGCTTAAAGATGGCGGAGTAGAGAAATCAACTTTTTGGAGAAAATTTTTGCTGCATCTTAAGTTAAAAGACTCATCTGTGGACAATGGTTGAGAAGGGCAATAAACAATAAAAAGGTAATGTTGTATCTTTCATGGCCTGATTTTCATGCCAATTAGAGTGTTGAAGTGATATTTTCATATTCGTTCCCTCTTCTCTCCCCCTTTATTCTCCACTTTATTTGCCAAATCCTCAAAGCTAGGAAACGAAGCTGCAAAACATGTATGTTGAATTCTCCAAATTTTGTGATTAAGGGAGAAAATGTACTATGTATAAGGAAAAGAAAAAAGAAATGCAAGTTCTTCTTGATTCTTCCTGATATGAATCCTACAGTACGATTGTTGCATTCAAAACATTTCCAACTATCTCTTAGAATGGTAAAAATGCTCAAGCTCAGAAAGGCCAAAGGAGAGTAATTACGGAGCCGAATACTAAAAACTGTTGCCTCACAAAGCAGAAACTAAAATGAAATGAGTATTATCAAGAGATCAACATAGCAATGAAACAAACCATCAAAATGATGAACACCACAGCCAAAACCCAACATACCCAAGTCACTCCCTTCTTCTGATGCTGCTTAGCATAGAAAAGACTGTTAGTTCCACCACTGATGAAACTTCCAGCAGTGGCCATATTGCGCTCAATATCATCTAACTGTTCACCTTGAGTCTCAACTAAAACAGCCATATCAAGAAATACTTGATGAAGTTTCTCCAGGCTCTTCTGTATGTCCATTACAGCCTCATGCCTATCTTTCTCTTCCACATTCATCTCCGTCTTTCCTGCAAATATTTCTACTTTCCCACTTCCTCCTGACACCATCTTCTCAATCACTTCCTCGGTTGGTTCCTCACCTGTCTCGTTGTAATATCTTCTTCTGAGGCAGTCTTTATAATCTGATATGATTTTCTCACGCAAAGCCTGAAACTCATTCATAATGTCCCTAAGCTTGACCCTCAATCCATTGGTCATATTAACTCTCGTTCGATCAACCACAGTGCCTTCTGCATATGCCACTGATAATTTTCGATTAGCCACATTTGATATGTCGAGTGCTTCAAGTTTTGCCTTAACAATCTTGGCTTTGCGAAGAACAGAAACCATGTTTGAATCCATTCTATCTCTAAGGCCACGAAGAACTTTGGGACCGTGAGTGATCTTTGTCTCTTCATTCAGATTTTGAAGATCAATCAAGAGATTAGTAATCTCTTCTATATCAACTTTCACTACCTCGATTTCATGGAAGAAGTTGGAAAGATTGTCTTCATCTGTGCGGCTGAGTTGGCCCATCTCCAAATCCCTCTCTGTTTCAAGATCCAATTGGGCTTGTTTCTTCAATTCCACATAACTTAAGAACGATTTTGTCATGAGATCGTTCATCTTCACTCCACTTTCTGTAAACTCTACAATTAATCAAGAACAACTTTATAAATACACCAGAAAGAAAGTTTACGGCAGTGGAAGGAACTGCATGCAAGAAAAGACTTCTACCATTTTTTTCAGTATGGCAATTTGTTATGAAATAATCCGATTGAAAATGAAATTCCACACCAAGAAAACATGATAAAAGAGGAAAAGATAAAATAAGAATTAAGGGGAAAAGAATTTTTTTAAAAATGGCGTCTTGAAAACAGAGAATGCATTGTGTGAATTCAAGAAGAAACCTTACACTTCAAATTCTGATGGGACAGAAGTAGGGGGGTGTTATCCAATTTTTGAAGAGCTTTGCAGTTCTTCTCCTTCCAGATGATGAAGAAAATGGCGTGAGTCTTCTTCTTCTTCTCCTTTTGGGAACTGTATGGGCAAGAGAAGGGGAATTGGATTCTTGAGAGTTTCAAATATTTGAAAGTTTCGTAAGGCAGAAATGACAAGTAGCCGTTAAATAGTTGTCCCGCTTAAGTCGGTGACGGTTACTGACTCAAGAGTAATCCCAAGGAAGAAAGGAAAAAAGAAATAGAAAAAAGAAAGGAAGAGGTGGGAAAGGTCGATACATAAACCACTCTGATCTTGCTCCGAGGGTTGACTCATTTTAAGACTAAAGTAAAATTCCCGTTAAATTTAGTGGGCGGAATTGTAGAATTCCGAAAAAAAGTGATTTTTTTTAAAGTGAAAATTGTTACAAGAGAAATCAAATTTTCCTCCATGATCTTCTCAAATGCTTAATGGCATATTTATATACTTAATGACATATTCAATGACATATTTTTATTCATTTTTTATGCCTATATAAAGGCCTTGTAATAGATAGGAAAAACACACAATTGAAGAAGAAATAAGAATCTCTCTTCCTCTCTTTCTCTCTATATCTCTTAGCTTGTTTTTCTTTGTTCGATATTGTTATTCTGAGTTATATTTATAATACGTTATCAGCACGATTGTCACGTTCATTTTTATAATCACATCCTAGTTGTGTTCGATTCTCCTTCAGGTATATCACTATATATTCTTTTAGTTTATGGTAATATATATGCACCAATATGCTATTTATTAACAAATTCATATACTGTTAAGCATTTATTTTAGTTGATCATGTTACTGAAGTTCTCTTACCTTGCTTATTGTTAAAGAAAATATAAATGCGTTAAACTAACAAAAAAAATAACTTAATAAATATGTGTGGACTTGCGTAGAGCAAAACTTATCTTCAAGATATTTTACAAAAATAAAATAGTGATAACCAAGGTGACAAGGTAATTATTGTACATACTAGTTTAAATTACTTTACAATTAGTGGAAAGTAATATTTGAATACATTCACTCTTATCACCGTATATAGTTATTCCTCAAATCCACGTTTATAATAAATTGCTTTTCTTTTACCATACTAAATATATCTCTTTGTATTTATTTATATACTCCATAATTCTTGTTTATTTGACATATATATTATATGTTACTTTTTATACTGCATGTTTGAAGTGATCAACTTCTTAATTAGCTGTCTGATTTATTTTTACAAGTATATTTTCATTGAAAATTATTTTTATTTGTTCTAACCCATTTACTTTTGTGATTAGTTTTAATATGTCAAACTTGTCAAAGCTTGAATTTGTGGTACTAGATATTACCGAAAAGAATTATTTATCATGGGTCCTTGATGCTGAAATTCACCTTGACGCTAAAAGTCTTGGAAAT